GTGAAATTGATTAACTATATGAAATAGTATAAATATATACATTTTCTGACATCACGTCTTGCATTTGTGATCATTCTAAATGCATTTTAATAGACTGAATCATGCAGTGAAAGAACGCACTCTAATTTATGCGCACTAGTCTAGACTTCACGTAATGTATTCGTGTGCTCTGTTAGGGGTGTTTTCAAAATCAAAATCGCTCGATAACGTCAAATCGCACATCGTTAAAACAACAATTACGATATTATCGCAGACGATATATATTTGTTTGTTTATTTGTGTGTTTAAATAGTATGAGTAGTACTGTAGTAGTACAGTTTTTCAAAAATAGCCTGCCTTTATCTCTGTATAGCATTTAATCATCTGTATTGATACCCTATTGATTCAATTGGCAGGTGAATCATGGATCAGGATTCATCACAATTGCCCAGATCTGAGTACACACTATTCTGACCTGCAGAAAGCTTTGGTCATTGGCAGCCTCAAAGAATACAAGTCAGCATCACGTGTGGCAGAATTCATCCATCCAGATAATCCCAACATGTCATAACACACCCTCATTCAAAACATATTTTTTGTTTGTAACAAATATTTCAGATTCAGATGTACTGTTACCAAGATAAAGTTTTCTTCAAATGAAGCACTAGGGAGTTTTTACAATAAATACATGACAAAGACCAACACTGACCTATGAGCTCTGCATCTAGAGAATCTTTAAACATAATTGCTTACCCGTAGCTGAAATATTACTGTAGCCCAGGTCTGCTCAATCCTGTCCTGCAAAGTTTAGTTGCAGCTCTAAACAAAATCACCTAAACCAGATGATCAAAGCCTTCAGCTTGACTTGGAAATTGCAGCCAGGTGTGTTGGAGCAGGATTGAATACACTAGCACAGTAGATGAAATGCTGCCACCACTCACTCGCAGAGGAACTGCAGCATTACAGACCACAAACCTCCAGAAGAGCTCCAGAATCTCAGAAAACAGGGTCAGCTCTCGTCCTTCTTGTATAAAAAGCATCTATGATGATGCCTTAAGATATTCATAGATTTGTCAGAAGGTAAAAGGAATCTGATGCCACAATGTGAATTCCGTTTTGGTTTTCCAGAATGCCTTTAAGCATAACACTGGTGCCTCATTTTTATTTTTCAATTTAGCCTTTCTCTGCATATTTAATCAAACCAATAATTCAGTGCGATTATCTTTTTCTTTTTTTAATAAATAAGAGGTTGGAGTAGAGAATAGGGTGATCTTTGCTGCCACGTAGTGGTACAAATCATGTCCAACATGGCTGCAATGGTGAACCCCTAATTTAATTTGCACTTTTTCTACATCCTTAAAGTAATAGCTGGTTTTGGATATCTAGTGACATATCTAGACCATAGTTCATCCCAAATTCAAAAGCAAAATAATACTAAGTATTTTTTTTTGCCACTGTGACATCATTTTCACAATGAATTTCCAGAATGTCAGTAGCCAACATTTGAATTATTTAATTTAATGTGATTTTTTTTTTTTTTTTGTAAAAGTCTGAATTTTTTTGCTTTATTTAAATTTTTTTGGGGGGAAATGCTTGTCTGTAACACAAAAAAATAATGGCCCTAAAATGGGCTTCATTTTCTTTATGCAATAAAAATGTGTATTCCTTTGACTTTGTTGTGAAATATAACCTGGATATTTCTTTGAGAGATTCACCCAATCATATTTTACAGTTTATATTTATGACAGTCTTGTTTACATTTTAACTAGGAGTTGACCAGGAATCGGTTACGTACATCAGCCTTCACTGCCTTGTTTTTTGCCTTCAACAAAAATAAAAAGAAATATTGAAATCAAATGCTTTCCCATATTTTTTTATTTCAACACACGTAAAAAAGGATATGCATTCAGTCTATTTTCATCAAGATTAAAAAAGCAAAAAATATGGCTGCTTTTCAATGCCTGCAGATTTCCTAGGGTAAGTCTTCAAATGGAAACTGGGAATTTCATCTAAACATGGATTTTTCTGTCCTGGTTTGAGAGGCATCAGTGCGCCACAGAATTGAGTGGTTCTGCTCTTATGTTTCCAAGATCCAGCGCAGAATCAGTTTCTTCATCGATTTCACCGATTACGGCCCTGAAACATAAACATACAAGCCTTTAAAATCCACCAAAGTCCACAGTTGTTTTACACAAAGTAGCACAAATACTAGAAGAGGCATAATACATACACATTATCGCCTCTGACAATATACAGTCCCAGAACCACCTGCTCTACTCCCTGGGAAGAGCTGAACACCCGCTCATGGCTTTCATCCAGGATGAGATTGATTGTCTGATCGAAGCCCTTTAGCGTCCCCTAAGCACAAAACAACAAAAGTCATAAGCAGGCTCCTTTATTAATGCACATAAACAATGTTTATTTTAAGGAGATGAAACACTCACCACAATCATTCTCCCATCTGAAGTGACGATGGCAACCGTCCCTTGAATAATGCTGGTTAGGGAAATATCAGGCTCATGAAGACTTACATACACACACACAATCATATTCAATTAAATAATCAGTGTATAAACTGTAGTACACTAACAGAAGTAATTAAATATATTATGCATGCACAATAGCATAATTCTATGAAATAGATATAATTAGACACGTTACATGCATGCATTTATATATAGTATATGCGTAGTACATACTATACACACAATTAATCCATACATATTCACTATACTAAAAGGCGATAATGACTTTATCATGCTCATCATAACACACCAAAACACTTGATCGCGCGCCCATTGAAACACCGTCATGAAAACAACACAAAGCCACCAGCTATTGCTCTACAACATCACCATCATCAAGTGCATCAAAGGATACGGTTAATGTAACTCTCAAGAGCGGTAGACATCTCTGCTGGAGCGTGTTTAAATCCACCGGTTCTTGAGCACAACTACAACGAAACACATTCGTTCTGCTGAGCCGGAAATGAGAACGGGTGAGACTCGAGTAGTCGATGACCTATCGCGGCAGTACTAGTCGAGTAGGAGCAATAGAACCTGTGGTAATGTATTTGACAAGAAGATGGCGCACTCTATAGGTTTCTAACACGGAGGTCTATATAATACGCTTTCTAACGAGGAACCTTTGAGATTAGAATCAGTTCTTGGTGAAAAGGCAAATTGTTTCAAGGTCACAGTGGGGGCTGATGGAAATAGGCCTATTGATGGTGATGATGACGATGGAACTTAGCTACACAAAAGCATTGTGGTGGTTAATGAGACCGTGATGAGATGCTACTTTGATTTGTAGAATATCATATTGATGGTATTTACATGGTATTCCAAAGTATTTCAAATATTAATTTGACATTATCAGGATAAATGTCCAAATTAGCCTATGGTAATACCATTGTATATTTCCAAAAACAGACATGGTATGACCATGTGTTCTGCAAACTATGGCACTCCTTGGTACATTTATGAAGCTGGAGAAACAATTATCAAAACAATCCATTGCACAATCACAGCGAAAGGAAATTAACCACATGATCATTTTTCACATTCTGAACTCTGTCCAAACCCCTCATTAAAACACAAAACACCAAGCACAACACAGATGATTGTTCAAGTTAATCATTTATGTTGTTATGAGGAAGTGAACTTTCAGCCTGAGATGCCTTAGAAGGATCTCCAGGAAACCATTATGGTAACAAATGGTATATGAAACACACATAGGCTACTTGAACCAGAGAAGAAAAAATGGATGTATAAAATAAAATCCTTCCGACAGTTTAGACTTTTACCATACTGAATTGGACAAATAACAAGGGAAACCGATTAAGCAATACAGGTAATTAAAACCTTCACATTTGAAAATGACTTTCTGTGACAGTTTTGTATATTTGTGAAAGCTCTTCAAGTTATATGATCTTCTTGTAACTTATTTGTGTTCTCTGTTTCCATGCGGCATCTTTTAGATTTCACGTGGAGCTGTAACAGTTTGTTAAAGGCAACATGAAAGCAGACGACAAACTTCAGATCTTGAAATTCTTTCTAATGCTTGTCAATTCCTTCTTTGTGGTAAGATGAAATAACCATAGATTTGCATGTTACTGGCAAGGATTTTAGAGACATTTCTTGTTTATTACTTACAAAGAACTTCCTGGACTGCAGTCAAATATATTAATCATACAGTGGACATTGACATATACAGCCTATAATTTGATTAAGCATGTGCTTGATTTCTGCCAGCAGTGTGCAAAAGCATAGACTTCTGCGCCCGTCAAATAAACCAACTTAATTCATGCATGGCTACATGTACAAACAAGTAACAATTTACATGATCTTGACAGATTCTTGGCATCAGCATTTTTGCGTGTTCTGCTTGGATTTTATTTGATAAGGACAGCTTTGTTAGTGTTCTCAGCTCTGGTAAGTTTTCCTCTTTGTCATAGTCTATCATTATTCAAATTAGGAGTTACATCTTACACAATGCGTGTTATTGCAATTTGCCTTGTGTTACCTATAATAATGTTTTAGGTCATGATGTTTTCTCTAAAGTATAGTACTTTGCCGTAGCCGATCTGACTTTGGTGTGTTAGTGAAGCAAAATGTGTGGTCTCTCAGGACAGGAAGTGAAGGTGGTGGCTGGGGGGCTCTTTTTCATCGGCCTTGTTGTGGTTGTTGTGTCCTTGCTGGGTTGTGCTGGTGCCTATTTTGAGAGCAGATGTTTCATTATATTTGTAAGCATGATGCGCATAGACACTAATAACTTTTACCCTGTTTTCTGAGTTGCAATAAAAGCTCGCTGTTAACATTTCCTCTTCTCTGTTTTTTTAGTATATGTGCTTCTTAATAGTCATCATTCTGGGTCAGCTTTTCATCACCTTTGTGCTATTAATACGAAGAGAGAAGGCAAGTCTTTACATTATTTATTTATACTGTAAGGAAAACACAGCTGACTTCAACTTCACACACGAGATTCCACATTCAACTGGTTGATAAAAATGATTAAACAAATTGTCTAATGCACATTTTGAATGTCACCAGATTGAGCAGTTTTTGAGGGATAATGTGGACGAGATCATTAGGCAGTACGGAGGAAATGAAACCCAAACGTCTTGGAAACTTCTAGACAGTGTGCAGACTTCTGTACGTGCCTGATTTACACTTGAATGCAAGATGACTGTATGATTAGAACTATTTTATCTGACAATCTGCTATAGGAAGGTGTGTTTTATATATGTGTGATATAAGTGCATTTTCTTTTTGCTGTAGGCACAATGCTGTGGTAGGCTGACCTCAAATGAATGGAGGAATAACACAGTTATTGAGTCGCTGGGGGAGACTGACATTTACCCTTGCTCCTGTTTTAACGGTACCTGCCCTGTAATTCTAGCTGGAACACACAGCTTTGGAAACGGATCAGACATCTATAAAACGGTAACATATGTTGCCTTTTTTCCATCATTACAACCTTTTTACTTATCCTCCCTGTTTTAATTTGCACACTAAAGCAGTTTATTTGGTGATAGGGCTGTGAGAAGGTTTTGGTGGACTGGCTAGAGATGAATATAATCGTAATATTTGGAATGGATGTTGGGCTTCTTTTGATTCAGGTAAGGAGAGACCAAAAATTGTAATTATTTTTCACACAATATGTAACCAATTTAAAAAATATTCTGGGTTAAATAAAAGTTAAGCATCTTGGACTTAGCTAAAAAAATAAAATAATTGTTGTATGTTTCTCCCTTGGAAGTGCATGTATGATACAAGTTAAGCATCTTTGACTTATACAGCAAAAATAAAATAAAAAACAACAAAAATTAAATAAATAATTGTTTATGTATATCTCTACCTTGTAAGTGAATAGTGCAACTAATTTTAGTGATAGAGCTAGTATTTAACCTGAAATAAAATAAAATAAACTCAACTAAAAATATTAAAAACATAAATATGAATTGTTGTATATTCTCCCTTGGAAGCGCATAATGCATTTCAAGTTAAGCATCTTTCACAGCAAAAAATAAAACAAAATAAAATTAATATTATATATAAAAATAATATTTTTCTCTTGCAAGTGTATAATTCAATTAATTTTAGTGATTGAGTGTAACTTGTATTTAACCTGAAATAAAATAAAATATTAAATAAAATACACCTTTTTCAAATAATACAAATGGAATGCATTTTAGTGACTGAAGCTTAATTTGTATTTAACCTGTCCTGGAATATTTCTAAACTGAGATAGGATATTAAAAGTAGTATTTGAACATAAAAAAAAAATCGAAATCTAAATGATTTTGGATTGTTTTGTCTCGTAATGCTCAGATTCTGCAGTTTATCTTTGGCATCCAAACCTTCAAATGCATCGGCCGCAAGACGAGGGAACCGCATCCCAATAATCTACTGAATGCCATGGAGGAGAATCCAGCAGCGCAGCCTGAACACCAGCAGTACAGTATGGAAAATCAGCAGTTTGATAGTCAAACCTATGACCCTCAAATGGACAGTGGCAGCTATCATCACGGTGGATATGTTGACGGGAATTATGACCAGTATAACAATCCTGAATTTTATCCAGAACAGGATAACAGTCAAATGTACAATAGCCAACATAATTTGCATTACCAACAGGGCTATATACAACAATAGAACTACCATCAGAGCTACAATCCTGATGATTACTGAAGCCACATTTCTTCTCTCATGTAACGTGATCAGATTGGGATGGGCTAATTTGCTGTTTTAAAAATAGCATTCTGTACAAAGAGCAAGCTGTGGTCTGTGCCTGACCAAAGACATCTAAAACCTTCTCGTAAGACCATTGTTTTGTTTCACTAAGTTCAGGTTAGTGCCTGTTCCCAGGAGTATCATCTGTCATTTTAAAGACAACCAGCATCTTTTTCTCAAACAATTCATTCCAGACCTCTAAAATCAAAGGCTTTTTAAGACAAAATATTTCCGTAGAAGTCACAGTTCAGGGTCTGATGACAGACAATTAACTATCTCTTTTTATTTTGGCAGATTTCATAAGTTTCCGTTTTATTTTAATGCCCCTTGACAAGTTTACAGGTATTGTATAACTGTAGTAGTGTAATTATATAAAAATACTGACCTGAAATTATAACCAATATAATATGAGACAATCCACACAATATACACACAATCCACACAATATAACTACCAACAATAATATTAAAACACTGTTATATGGCAAAAATATTCAAAACACGTTTTAAATAAAGAATACAAATCTACGTTTTCTACTTGAACCATACAATTAAAAATAAACATGTTTTATATACAAAGGCTAGATTTACATTATTTGGATTATTACTAATCAATAGAGAACAAAAAAAAAACAATGTGTATAAACCATTAGTCATCCTTTGCTTTTCGTGCCACGAAGATTCCTCGCTCTCGGTTGTGATATTCGGATGATTCGAGAAGTTGTTTTGTAAATCACTGCACACTCAGACCTGCTTTATGAGTCAAGACTTGATGTTAATGACACTGGGGGCCATTTAGTGTGAGTCGGCGAGTCAAGAGTGGGCTTTGACTGAAGTTTGATGGACAACACTCTCTATAGGCCATAAAGAGCGGCGTGTCTGTCTGCATGAGAGGGCCCTTTGTTACGGTCGCTTTGTGGTTGATGATAGCCAGGCTGACATTACCGACCTCGTGTGGTTATGAGTTGGCAGTCATGCTTTACGACAACAGTTGACAGCGCACGCATTGATGGAGACAAGGAGAAAGTTACATGGAGAGGAGCTTGAGATTTCCACTGCCAGTACCTGATTCTGCTCTGGACAGAGTGATGCACAATGAGTCAATGGGAGATTTTCAGGACTGTCTGGGATGCGCTGGGACAGTGACACAAAAGTTATTCCAAAATAGCATAAAAGGGTCTTATTTAATATGAACATGTTCATCATAAAATAGTATAAACCCACAATGTCTCCAAACCCATTTTTCTTAATTGTGTACAATATATCTATTATTTTATAGTTTGAAACCAAATAAACTTCTTCTCGTAAAATGTTCTACTTGAAAAATGTGTAAATTGTACTTTATTTCTTCAAAATAGCCTAAAGATAACTTGGTTTGGTATTTTGTTATATAATGCATTGGAAATCATACATTAAGTGCAGCTTAATGCCGAGTTCACACTGCACGATTTTAGCCCGATTTTTCACTCGCTGACAGGTTTTGTGAAATCGCCGACAAATGCCCGAAATCGTGTTCAAACACTTTTTGGGGCTTTTGTTGTACGGAAAGAAGCCGCATGAACATTGACTAATCTATCAAATCCGAACATTGAAGAATCAATTCTAATCTACTCAGTTGGTCTTAATCTCATGACAATGCCATTTAGTTACAGTGAGCAAGAAAACAGACACCGGAATAGAATGAGCGAGAGATGCTATAGCAAGTGAGATTGAATTATAGGACATGAGTCATGTTGATGTTCTTTACTATGTGAGCTCTTTTCTCATGCTCTCTGGCTTTCCCCATGTTGTCACGAAAACAATCAGCTCTTGTTGCGCCGCTGGAGTGTGCGAGCATGTGGACAAGGCCAAACTAGTTAATAAAACGCAGTCGGACCGATGACCTGGATTACAGACCATCTCAAGAGGGACAGAGACATTCGGTTCTTCCAGCCAGAGTGTGTTTGTGTGAGAGACACAGAGTTTGAACGTGTTAAAACCAAAGTGGATGAAACGAGAGCCGTCAGATCCTTCCCTCTTCAGAAGAACCGGATCTTGTGAGGATCTCATCTGGTTCAATATTGGTTAATAAACGAGTAGTAAACGCCAAAAATCTTGGCACTGTTGTCCCCCGCTCTAAATCAAACGTGTTTCTAGACAAGCCTGTGCTCTGTTCCAAAGATGTTTTCTGGTGCAAAATAAACCACTATCCTCATGCAATGGTGCGCTGGCACAAAAAAGCCATTTATCCTCCTCGCAGAGGCCTGCAGGACCAGCGGCGTTCCTCAAAGCCAACAAGCTGCCGCGGGCATCGCAGCAGACCAGCCAATGCGCTCATCAAAGAGCCACACTTCCTGCCGGATGAAATTCTCCCATAGTTTTTAGGATGGCATCCCGGAATATCAGACTCTCACTGATTAGTTAAGCCTGACACAAGTTGCGATTCGTCTCTTCAGCCTAATGTTTTTTTTTGTGGTGAGCAGGTACAGCTTGATGAGTAAGTCTAGAAACATCTCATGCATCCCTCCTGGAACAGCCACAATATTCCCTTCATTGTCCGCTTCATAAACCCGGAGGTCTCCACCACAAAATACTGCCATTTCCAATGAGTTTCCTCATGCATTTTTCATTTAAACCTCTGTGTCTGCACACCCTAAAGAATCCAGCCACGCCCTGTAAGGATGCCACATGTTGATGGAAAAAAAGGCTTTGTTAGGTCTTGTTTACTAACTGGTAAACAGACAAAGACTTGTAAGTAACAGACTGCTACCTGTCCTGCTGGCTGCTAGAGCTGGAATCAGGGTCCCCTTGCGCAGCTCCGCTGTGGGGCCCAGTTCTGCTTTCTTCAGCTCCGTCGTGGGGCTCATTCAAGCTGACTTCATGCATTCTTTGCACACAACAGCCGCTTCTTCTGAATACCTGCGGATAGGTATAGATTAAGATAACTTTGATGGATGACCAGTACTTTCTATCATAGTTGATTGACCTCAATGCATTTAGGCGTGCAAAATACGGGTGTTTTCAAAGCAGAGCGCTGTCAATGCAAAAATGGCAACAATTTCAACGAACGCCTTCAGGGCTTCCTCACTATTGTGACGCAAGCTACTGCTGCTGGTAAACATGGCTATATTGTGTAAAATATAAGGGTACTAACTTACCATCTTGACAGAGAGGACCAGAAGTGCCATGCTGGGGATGATGAACAGCGCCAAGAGCCCGTGAATCGCTCCGTTCATACCGTTCTGCTGTCTGCTTTGACCTGCCAGAACATAAAAGCACATTCCCTTCTTAGTTCTTACGTGTACAGTACACTATATAGCATGAAGTATGTGGACACCTGAACGCCACACCCATATGTGTTTGTTGAGCATTTCATTTGAAAAGCATTGGCATTAATGAGGTGTTTAATCTCCCTAACGGCTTCCATTTTTCTTGGAAGGCTTTCCAATAGATGTTGGGACATGGCTGTGGGGATTCGCTTTCATTCAGACAGAAGAGCATCAGAGAGACAGTGTTAGTCTTCTCAATGTCATTTACGAAGAGCTTTTAAAAATAAAATTTGTCATTGATACAACGGAGACAAAAAATAGTTATGATGACGATAATTAAGTTAAGTTATATTGACGAAAATAACTATTTTAATTGTGATTTTACTGTTGGCCATGAGAATATTATATGAAAAAAAAAAATAACACTGCAAGATATTAACAATGGACTAACAACATTTTTCTAGAAAAATCTAGATTTTTTTTTCAAATAATCCAATCAGTTTATATATTATATCAGGCATTCCAAAACATTTTTTGTCAGCTGAACTCCTTTGACAAAAATATCTGAAGTACCCATCTACCACACACACACAACATAAACATAATATTACAAGTTGACACGAATGCACAAGAAAACCTGAACTAAGTTACATGCTAATTAGAATTCACATTGTGAATACGGTCTTTCTGTATTTAAAGCACAATGCATTAAAACACGCACAATGAATGAATAAAGCATTAATAATTCATAACACTGTATTGCAATACTGTAGTCATTACAATGTTATTATTTCATGAGCTCATGTTCTCACAACAAGGACAGTTTTTATATTCTGTTAAATGTTGAGATAAAATTCATATTAAAATGTTTGGATATTTAATTTAGCACTTTCTCAACGTAATATTGACTAAATGTAGAGGATATTTAAAGAATATATATCTTTTATATTTATACATTTAAAGAATAATAGACAAAATGTTTGACTAAAACTATTAAATTAATGCAGTAAGGGCATCAGGTTTGGGCTTTGTGAAGACCTGTCAAGTTCAGCCACTCCGGGACATTTGGTTTCACACAATTCTCTAGAATGTTATCACATGCTTGGATAGTGCTACACTCCTGTTTTACAAACAACATATCTACTGATTTACCGGCTATAGTGTGTGTTTTGCACACATGTACTCAAATTTTGCATGCATTTGCTCAAGTTTTAACACATTTATATGCAGCCCAGATGGAATCAGCATCCTTGGAACTCTGAAAAACAGCAGTTTTCTGGCGAATTGGTTCTACATATCCGCCATTCTTTGCTTTATCATGTTTACATCGGTTCTGCAGAATTCTCATGTTCTCTTCCAAAAAAGATTCCATCTAGACCTGCTCATGCATCATATACATTAAAAAAACAAAACAAAAAAAAAACAATATTTTGCACATTCACCTGGTGTGAATGGAGGAGCTGCGGGGATCTGGCAAGGAGGAGGTGTGCAGTCATGAAACTTGCCAAGTGTAGATCCAGCCGCTGTAAGAACCTCTTTAACATGACTGAAGTAACGTCTAGTCGGCCACTTTCCCCTTCTATAGTGGCACTCGAATGTTTGCATTGTCACCTCCTAGAGAAGACAAACAAACCAGAGTGAACCGACAGCCACGACAACGTTTCAAAGAATGCAAATGTAAACGCAAGGAGATTACCAGCTCCTCATTGTCCAGAGTGAAACGAAAACCCTCCAGCATTGTTATAAAAATAGTGATGTTCACTTTATTGGTGGACAGATTGCCAAACTTGAGGGCCAATGTTTTTAAACTGCTTTCGACGTGATACAGGTTCACATATAGCCAGCAAGCTCCACCCTTAGATATTAGAAAAGAAAACATGATTAGGTGTCACTTGTGGAACTGTCACAAACCACAACAACTCTGTAATACATAATTTTTATCGGATAATAGCCCTAAAATGTATTTGGACACTTAAGCCACACTTAAAAATGAAGTCAATTGCATGATATTCAAGCCGGGTGGAATTTATTTGAAAGAAACATGCGTGAGCACATTTTAATGCAAAACTTTTCAAAATATAATGTTTGTTAGGTTTAAATGATAAAAACAACAGATACATTGTTTAAACTTAAGAAAATATTATGGAATATGGAAAGGTATTAAGACAGTTTGCAAATGTATGTGAACTACACCTGCTAGGAGAACTAACTTTATGCATTCACTAAAATTCACTTATAATTCAGCCTTCGCAAAAATCTGAAAAGTGAAGTTAGTTCAGAGATAAGCTTTAGCATCATTTGTTTGCCACATGGTTTGGTATTTTATCTATTACAAATAAAACTCATACATGAAGTGTGGCTCAAAGAGTGCAAATACGAGTTTGGGCCACTATAAATGTATCCACATGAATAATAGAGCAAACATAGTCAACCATGTCATCAAATATTAGCATTTATCACGCTTACCACATCCTTGGTGATGAAGCGAATAGGTATTCTGTAGTCACTGGGAATGTTTTCACTCTGATGGGATGAAAAAAACAAGAATTGGTTGGTTGTATAGCAGAAAAAAACGTCCTGACTAGCAAAACATTTTTTTGTAAATGTCATTGATTTCCCTGCTGGGAAAAAACAGCTAAAACTAGATGGTTTATTGATCTTAGCTGGTTTCCCAGCCTGGCCAAACTAGTCTTAGCCTGTTAATGGTCTCCCTGCATGGCTAAACTGAAATTCAGCTAGGCTTCCAGCATCAAATCCCCTCTAAAACAGCTTTCAGACCAACTCGAGAGACCAATAAACCATCTCAAGAAGTTTTTCTTTTTTTTTGCCCAGCAGTGTTCCACAGAGTAAGAATACTGAAAGCAAGAAAACAACGAATAAAACTTCTTTTGTAAATCTTACCAGTATGTCCAACGTGGCCACATCATCTGTTAAAGGGCTTCCAAAAACACCTGAGCAGGTCACAAGCCCAGAAAAAAGCAACACTAATACACAAATGCTTTCTCCAATCTACAACGAAAAAGTCTCAATGTAGTTACAGTAATTTAGACAGTAAATAACGCGCGCAATGCCAAACACCTATCCAGCCTGAACATGATCACAGGATACATCCTAATCGTTTCACTAAACTACCCCTATAAGTAATGAAAAGTAATCAACGATTGCATAAGTTGTGTTAGTTGAGCCACCTCGCATTTGGTTACGCTGTGGGTGTGCGTGCGCGTCCCCAAAAGTGCGTGTACTCACCTTAACCTCCCTCATGTGGAACATGGGAATATTAAAAACAAATCAGCCGTGACTCCTTACTTTCTTCGTTTGCCCTGACAACGGAATGCAGGCATGTTTCCGCCTGTACATCTGACTGGAGATAATCACAGGACGGGCTCGGGATCAGTGGTTTTGGCGTGTCTTTCTCCTCCGGTCCCGATGGAGAGCATGGCGTGCTCAGTGCGCGACGCCTGAGCGCAATTTCGCCCTGCAGCGCTTCTGTGAACTGAATGGGGGCGGATGGACTTGTCCTCTGTGTTTAAGAGGTAGGGCGCTTTGACTCACTTATAACGTGTCAAATAGAGAAAACTATTCAAGGAAACCTGGGTGACTCATCCAGACCTCAATCACAAGTGACAGTGTGGGAGTTTCGTATGGAAAAAAGAAAAGCAAATGTTAAACCAGCCTAAGACTGTTTGCTGGTCTTGGCTGATTTGAGCTGGCCCCCCTAGTGCTCCAAAGTCTAAAACCATCCCGACCAAATAAAATGAAAAGTACCTCAAACTAGCTGAGAAATAGCCAAAATCCCTCTTAAAAACAACTTGAACAGCTGAAAAGTGCACCAGCCCTCTAAAAAACGGTTGAAAAGTGCCACAAACACCCTGAAACAATGGTTTGCTGGTCGCTCAGCCTGATAACTTGGTATTAAAGTGGTTTGGGGCACATTTCAGAAGGGGCATACTGTGAGACCTGCTAAAGACAACTTAAACTAGCTAAGACCAGTTTAAGATGTTTTCTTTATCTGTTTAACAAGGTAATAACAGTCTGTAATTACAAGATGATCCACAAAATAATTGCACAAAAGTAGGCTACATGTAGTTCATTATTAACACCAAATAATTACCAGTATTAAAGGAGAAGTTCACTTCCAGACCAAAATGTACAGATAATGTACTCACCCCCTTGTCATCCAAGATGTTCATGTCTTTCTTTCTTCAGTCGTAAATAAATTATGTTTTTTGAAGAAAACATTTCAGGAATTATCTCCATATAATGGATTTATATGGTGCCCTCGAGTTTGAACTTCCAAAATGCATTTTCAATGCAGCTTCAATGGGCTCTAAACGATCCCAGCCGAGGAAGAAGGGTCTTATCTAGCGACAACATTTTGAAATTTTTTTACTATTTAAAAATAACTGTTTTCTATTTAAATATATTTTAAAATGTAATTTATTCCTGTGATTTCAAAGCTAAATT